TTCTGACATTAATGTTTGGCAAAGCAAATTAGTAGACCCTGGTGGAATACTAAATGCAACATACCGGTAGATTGTCCCATTATTATAACATTTTTCTAAAGGAATGTGAAATTTGTACTGTGAAAGATTTAATAGAATTTTTTTTAAAGGTGACTTTCCTCTTTCCATAGCATCGGCCAGTGATGTATTTCTTGGCTCGGGCAACCTCCTGACTGGCTACTGAGGGGAGGTGAGGGGAAGGGAGTGGAGGGGAGGTGAGCAGAGTAGGTAAGGGGAGGGGAGCGGAGGGGAGGTGAACCGAGAGTAGGTAGGGGAGGAGGTGAGGGGAGGGGAGGGGAGGGAGGGGAGGGGAGCAGAGGCAGCTATCCCTCACAGCAGCCAATCTGCACGGATGATAATCAGTCCAATTTTTTTAAATCTTGTCCCTATTGTCATATGCCTCTTCTCCTGGTGTGCGCCTCATTCCAGGATGCGGGGGCTGCACAGCTCACAGAGTTTCTCGTACACTCCTCTTGTCCACCTCTCACCCTGCCCGTCCGTGCCCATGTTACACAGAGGTCATCCCCTGAGCAAACCACATCGCTACAGTAGCTTACAACTACCAGGAACTGAAAAGATCTACTGAGTAGTAGGAACATCCTTTATTTTGCATTGCTGCCCTGGATAGAGCAGGTGAGGGGGCTGGGGTGGTGGGGGCAGCGGCTTGGCGGTCAGTCCTGGTTCCTGCTTGTGATTGCTATCTGACGCTCAACACTGGAGTGCAGGCACGAGTGGGAATATCTGACAGGACATGTCCCATGGCCAAGGAGCTGGCACTTACTCTCAGGTAGAAATCTCGTTTGGATGAGGTCCCAGAGGGTGACCGGTGTTCCCGAGTAGAAGCCAGAGTAAAAAAAAAATCATACTTTAGGCACAAACTGAGCAACGAGGAGCTAAATCTGATTTATTAAAGTGAACTGTCACCAACGGTCAGTCAGCAAGGAAAGCAAATTTTACAATCATAGAATCACAGAATATTACAGCACAGAAGGAGGCCATTCGTCCCATTGTGACTCCGTTGACTCTTTGAAAGAACTACCCAATCAGTCCCACACCCCTACTTTTTCCCCATACTCCTGTGGTAAAACAGGCTGAACCACAGGCAGAATAGACCAGCATCATAGAATCATAGAATATTACAGCATAGAAGGAGGCCATCATGCCTGTGCCGGTTCTTTGGAAGAGCTGTCAACTAGTCCCTCTCCCCCCACTCTTTCCCCATATCCTTGCCAATTTTTCCTTTTCAAGTACCTATCCAATTCCCTTTAGAGAATTGTTATTGAATCTGCTCCCACCAACTTTTCAGGCCGTGCATTCCAGACCATAACAACTCTCTGCGTAAAACATTTCTCCTCATCCCCCTCCCTCGGTTCCTTTGCCAACTATCTTGAATCTATGTCAAAATCATCAGTGTTTTTAAAAAAAATTAGCGTTCAATTACTTTTCTAATTTACTCCCCATTGTCAGATGAATGTGCTCCTGCTCTGGCCTCCTCTTTCTGGGGTGTGGGCGCAGTGAGCGGCAGAGGGTCTCACAGCCAAGCCTGATCTCCTCCCACCCAGCTGACCTATGCACGTAACTAGAGTGGGTGCCGTATAGAGTCCAAGCCATGTACCACAACTGGGTCTTTTTACAATCATAGAATAATAGATTGGGTGAGGGAGGGGAAGACTCTAGACTATGAGACCAGCAAACTCAATATGGATGGCTATCCTTGATCCTATCAGTTGCTTGATAAAAGTTAGTTGACTTGCTGACTGAAGTGTGGCTTATTGATCTTCACTGCAGTAATGTTCGCTGCAGGTCTCAATTATTGTGGGGATTGTGCAGCTCCACATCGCTCCCCTCAGCACCGAGTGGGCTGAGGAGCACTGAAATGTTAAACAGGTTAAAACTGCAGTGACCTTTAACATGCAGCAAAAGTGATGTGCCTCTATCTCTCTCTCTCTGTAGTACTGTCTCTCTCTCTCTCTCACTCACAGTCTCTCTCTCTGTAGAACTGTCTCTCTCTCTCTCGCTCACTCCCTCTCTCTCTGTAGTACTATCTCTCTCTCTCTCTCGCTCACTCCCTCTCTCTCTCTCTCTATGGGACCGCTGCATTTACTCAAACAGCAGATCACAGCTTCAGCAAACCGGATCCACTGTCTCGGGAAAGTTTACCAGAGCAGCACAGGGGGACACAGGCCCTTTACAACAGCGTAGAAGCATCTACAACAATAACATGACTAGATTACTATCACCCTGTCCGAACCTCCCCAAACAGTGGCTGTGTGCCAGTGTGTGCTGTGAGGCTGTGCTCTGATTCTTTATATTTGTCGAGTTCTGCTCCATGGCTTCAGCAGCAGAAATCGTGTGGTTACATTACTACAAAGCCTGGTGACGTACACAATGTGTATGTTATTCCCTGGATTAGCTTCTGACAGTGTTGCAATAAATTATTTTAACAGTAATTTACTGTTGGGGAACGAGACTTGCCATTTTTAAGGTTTTTGCCTAAATTAATTTTCCACTTGTCAAAATCGATAATTTAATTTTTCGCCAATGGAAATGACGTGTAAAAAGGAATAAAAATAACCTTGGATGTGTACGAGGAGCTAGAAACACAGGGGCCGGAGGCAAGAGTTTATAGTTTAGGACACAACATGTCACGAGACTGCGTGAAGGTAAACTGAATGACCTTGGTCTTCTTTATGTTCTTATAAACCAGAAAAAAGCCGCAAAGGCTCCAACTCAATGGAAAATAGAAAGAATGACAAAACTCCTATTTGCACAATTTTTCGCTACATTCCGCTCCCAAGGTGGAGCAGAGAAGGTTGAGAGGGGACCTGATACTGGTGTACAAAATTTGAGGGGTTTTGACAGGGTAAATGACAGGGAGAAGCTATTCCCACTGGTAAGGGAGTCAGTGTTTAGGGGACAGTGTTATAAGGCTGTCACAAAAATAAGAGAGCTTTATTTGCCTCCACACAGAGAGTTGCTGGGATGTAGAATGCCCGGCCAAGTAAGGTGGGAGAGGCAGAGTTTATTGTGGGTTATGGATTTCACAAGGCCTAACTGGAGTCCCAGAGAGATCCTGTCAAATATTCTCCTGAGAAAATAGTATCTTAGGACACAGTATACAGTTTGAAACACAACATGTCAAGCAACTGCCAAGATGGTGGAAGGCGAACGAGGTGAACCTTGGTCTTTTATCACCCAGCAAATTCTCATGTTCTAAAAATGTGCACAACTGGCACTAACTTTACTGGCTCAATTTTTCACTTAGAAAATAAACCTTACAATATTAATATTTAGCAACTGCAAGCTTTCCGATTGATTATAGAATTGTTCATCAATATCATACTTTGGCAAAGATACAAATATGGTATTTTCACTCCCCTTTTCAGACATCACCACAGCAACCAACCTCCGTCCCCTCATCCCTGCTTCCACACACGGCACCTCCCACCATCTCTACCCAGCCCCATGCCGGGCCTCACCACCACCCTACATTGGTTCTAAAATTCTAAATATTTGTTCTAATTTCTATTTATATTTTCTGGTCCCGCTCGTTTTGAAATCAAAGTTTGCCATTAACATTGCAACAATATTTCATGAACTTTGCTTAAGCTCCCCTCTACACCAGTCTTCCTACACTGTAAAACTTAAACTACTCTGATCTTCTTTGTAGCTCATCTTGCAGTTCAGCTAAGAGTTATTAATGATCAAAGGTCAGTGCTCTGGGTTGTGGCATTAGCTGAATGTTTTATGAGATTACTGCCTTATATCAAGGATTCTGGGTATAAACTCAGTGAGTGGGAAGGAGGATTTTCAATACAATCTAAACATCTTTTCAGGTAACGGATCTGATTACTTGATACTACTATTGAAATCTGGATCTCAGGCGGAAGAATTCTGATTTCACAGACAAAAAGTGCCAGTTTATTCAAGTGAAGGATGTGACCCAATAAGAGCTGGTAAACCTAACTGAGAAAAGCGTTTGAAGAATTTAATAATAATAATCCTTGCATTGACATAACATTGATCCTTGCAGCCTGTGAAGGGAGGAGTTCTGGAAGATCATCCAGAACTCTGTAGTCCATGTCCTCTCCCGCACTAGGCTCCGTGACACTATAACCAACTCCACTGGCTCCCCATCACACAGAGGATACAGTTCAAGATTATGGTCCTCACCTTCAAAGCCCTCCACGGTCTTGTTCCCACCGACCTCTGCCACCTCCTAAACCCTTACCATCCCGTTTGCTCCCTCCGCTCAGCGGGTTCCAGCCTGCTTCTCGTCCCCCACCTCGCTCGCCCCACTGTTGGCGGACAGGCCTTCCGCCACTCTGCCCCCACCCTCTGGAACTCCATCCCACAGTCCTTCCGTCCCGCACCCCCCCCCCCTTGCCACTTTCAAGACCCCTCTCTAGACCCTCCTCTTCGACCATGCTTTTGATCTCCCTGCTTCTCCCCCTGCCCACCACCCTCCCGACCCCGATTCCCAGCTGCTCGGGTATACAAATGTCATTTTGTTGTTGTTGTCCTGGAGATGTCTCAAAGCGTTTCGCAGGATACACTGTAAAATGAATTGACTGTATGCTTTGTGGGTGAAATGCAGCAGCCAATTGCGCACAGCAGCGTTCCACAAACAGTCATGGGTTGAGTGACCAAATTATTTTTGTTTTTTTTGAGGGATTATTATCACCGGAAATGCGATTCGCCAATCGACTAACAATCGGGTTCCTACTTACTGCTGGGTAAACAGAGGTGTGGGGAGTAAGGAAACTTGTCTCTCACTTGCGAGGTAAGTGCTATAGGACTCCACAGTGTAAAAACATCAGTGAAAGAAGCAGAAGCTGGCAATAATAAAACTGGACAAAGTGGGGATGAATATTTCCACGATTCTGTATAAGAATTTTTCATGATTATTATTTTGTAAATTGAATCCAGTAAAAAATCGACTTGAAAGACAATGAACGTACCTTGACGGTCTGATCGAGGGAAGCTGTCGCCACTCGAGCCAGTGGCCCCCCAATGCCACAGTGTATGTCCGTCACCGGCAGTGTGTGGCGAGTCCAGACATGACGGGGCTCAGGCGTCCGAACAAAGTCAACCTGCAGAACACTAAGAGGAGGGACCATTTCACCAACAGGTCACACACAACAACTTGCATTTATAAAGCAGCCTCATAACCTCGGAGCTCACACACCAAATAGCAGCAACAAGCACTGGAATGGGGCAGAGGGATTGTTAAACCCAGTCTATTAAATGTTAAGCAGACGCAAGAAATATAGATTTGGATTTTAGATATCTTGGCTTGTTTCTGGATGTTAGCACAGTCACTGTGGGGGATCTCAGCCCTGCGTTTTTACAAACTGAGTGGAACCTTTCCCACTGACATCACCAGGCCACTCCATATTCTTCACATAATAATAATTATAATAATCCTTGCATTTAATACAGAGCCCCATCACTTCGAGACGTCTCAAAGCGCTTTACAGAATATACTGTAAAGTGAATTGACTCTGTATTTTGTGGGTGAAACGGCATATCAAATCAAAGGTTGTGGATATTGGGAAAAGATCAAATGCTTTAGGTAATAATCCTTGCATTCGATACAGCGCCTACTTATATCAATTTATCTCAAAGTGCTTCACAGAGAACTACTGTGGAGTGCAGTGACTGCGTATTAATCTGCCCCCAGCAAGGTCCCACAAATGTCTTGTGGGACCTTGCTAAGGGCAAATTAATGTGACCAGGTCACTGGAAGAAACTTTCTTTTCTTTCCCAACATAGACACAGGATATTTAACATCCTCCAGGACAGGCTTAGAGCTCCTCCAGTTTCAATGTATGAGCTTTCCCAGAAATAAAGATTCCTGGTTAACTCACTGTCTAGGGTGACACTCCAATACAGTGCTGGGGGGGGGCTGCATTTTCGGAGGTGCCATCCTTCGGATGAGACGTTAAACCAAGGTCCCGTCTGGCTGTTCAGGTGGATGTTAAAGATGGCAATATTCGAAAAGAGAAGGGAGTTTCTGCCGGTATCGTGGCCAACAATCCCCCAAATAAAATTGCTCACTCACTGGCACAAATTGGCTGCTGCATTTCCCAAAGTAGACACTACAGTTCACAGCAAAATCCTGTGAAGGGCTTTGAGACATCCTCCTCACGGAAAGGCGCTGTATCAATAGTGAGTATTACCATTTATCACCAAATTTTACCTTTATGAAGCAGTTGTACACATAAATTGGTCATTTTCAATCTACGACTGTTTGTGGGACATTGCTGTGCGCAATTGGCTGCCACGTTCGCCCACAAATATACAGTCAATTCACTTTACAGTCTATTCTGTGAAGCGCTTTGGGACGTCCTCCCGACGTGAAAAGCGCTATATCAAATGCAAGGATTATTATTATTATTATTATTATTATAGAATCCGAATGTTACCACACACAAGATAATTAGTCCACTGTGCTGGTGCTCAGGAGCCTGTATTCTGCCCTAATAACCCACCCATAATAACTTTTAATATTAATTTTCTTCAAGTGTTTATCCAGTTCCTCTTGAGGTGGGATTAAAAGTAGCCTAAATGGTCAGGTGTTCACATTCTAATAAAACTCCACGGGGAAAAGAAATCTAACTTTCTTTCCATGATAATCCGCAGTTCATGCCCTTTCATTACCACTCAATTAATGGAAAAAGTCTTCACATTTACCCTGTTATGCGTCTTGATTCAGTCAGGCTACATAAATCACAGTTGCCAACAAGATCAGTGGAATGTAAAGTGTAGGGATTAACAGTCAGTTTCTCAGTTGTAATATTTGCAATAATATGAAAGAGGGATTCTGAACGTCCCATAAAATCCAGCTTTCTTCTTTCATTCCCACAGGGGCTACCTTCAAAATCAACTCCAACATATTTTGTGCAAAGAGTAATTGGTTTAAACGTAATCTACATCAGATCAAAGACCCTGTTTGATCCTTCTCTGACTCTGATGCTGAGCCCATCTCCAGCTTTTAGCTTCTAGATCTGCTCAATGCTCAAATTCTAGGACAAATTCAACAGCACAGCAACAATACCCATAGTCAGGAACTAGAGGGCATTCAAGGGCAGCACACCTGCATCACATTAAAATGGTAGTACAAGAACAACTTGCATTCATACAGCGCCCTTCATGTGGGGTAGTGCCTTGTGGAGTCCTGTAGCTCAGTGGTTAGAGCACTCGCTTTGCAAGTGAGAGACCTGAGTTCAATTCCTTGGGCAAGTTTCCTTACTCCACACAGAGCCTAATAATAATCCCTCCAAAACAAAACAATAATAAATTGGTCATTTTCAATCTACGACTGTTTGTGGGACATTGCTGTGCGCAATTGGCTGCCGCGTTCGCCCACAAATATACAGTCAATTCACTTTACAGTGTGTTCTGTGAAGTGCTTTGGGACGTCCTCCCGACGTGAAAAGCGCTATATCAAAATGCAAGGATTATTATTATTATTATTATGCTTGTAGAGAAATTTACACAATTACTTCAGAAAATTAGCTTAAAAGCAATGAATATATGCCATAGGAGGAAGTGTTCAGCCTATTGCGTCAGTGTTAATAACTTCACTACCTAACTGTTTATCGTCCTCACTTTCAAAGCTCCCACAGCCTTGCTCCTCTTTAACTCTGTGACCTGCTAATCCCATATACCAACCACTTCGCTCAGTGGACTCTGGGCTCCTCCACCCTTCCTGATCTCAACCCCTAGCTAAGATATAAATCCTTCACCATCCAGCACCTTGGGACATCCTCCTGACATGAAAGGCACTATACAAATGTAATTTGTTGTTGTTATCTACCTAATAAGCCCCTGCTCAGTTTCTGACTAAAGATGGCACTATTCAAAAAGAAAAGGGAGTTTCTCTCGATATCATGGCCATCAACCCAGATAAAATAAGCCATTGTTGTTTGTGGGACATTGCTGTGCGCCAATTGATTTGCTAAAACGTCAATCCACTTGACAGCATATCCTGTGAAGCTCTTTGGGATATCCTCCTGACTTGAAAGGTGTTAAATCGAATTAAGGATGATTATTATATACTTCAATCACAGCCCACCGCTCTACTCTCATACTCAGTTTATATTCTCCTATTTTAAAAACACATCCAGTCCTCTGATGTTGTTATGCAATCGGTGATGGAGACAAATGGGGAGTTGGAATGAGCTGTAAAGTTGAAGAGTGACGTGAATCCAGGCCTTCAGCTTTCAGCCAACCGACCCGTGGGCCTGGCTTTGTTACAGCACGTCCCTGTCGAACATAAACTCTTTAATAGGGAAGACAGCAGCACAAACTGCACGCAGACAATTCCACCAGCAGATTCAGAAAAATCCAAATACAGTACGCTAACCTCCTGGCTGGCCAGATTAATTGGGGGGGGTGGGGGAGAAGCCAGAATTTTCCGGCTAAGTGCGATTACAATTCCAGTACCGGCATTTACCAGCTTTTTTCCCAGCGCCTTAGGACGTCCACCCGACATGAGAGGCGCTATGCAAATGTAATTTTGTATTGTATTTTGTATCCTTTCATGCCGAAAAAAGATAGCCAATAAACTCCCTTCTGCTCCTGGGATTCACACGGAGTAAAGTCGCAATCCCTTACCACTGAAGGCCAGCAGAGAGTTGGGAGGTGGAATTTAAACTCAATAGAAATAATGGCATTGATCTTTCAGGATCTAACAAGATAATATATAACAATATAATAAACATGGAAAATGGAGATTTGAGGCTCCCATGATATTTCAGTGAGTAAAGACGTTGCCTGAAACACCATCTATCTCTGTTGTATATATTTTGAGAGGGAGAGGAAGGACTGAGTGAGAATGACAGAAAGTGGCTGAAGTGAGAGCCTCAGAGAAAGACTGATGAAATAGACACAGAGAGTATTCTGTGTGAAGGACAACACAAAAAGAAACAACCCACATAGATACAAGACAGGCACACAGAGGGGCAATGACGGGAAGAGGAGAGAAAGGCAGAAACAGACACAGAGACTCACAAAGCATAATTTTATTTGTTTGGATCAACCATGTGTCTGACGCATGCTTAAGAAAGTATCCAAACCAGAGTTCTATGTATCTCACCTACACATGGAATTTCTTGTGTAGTGGATGTGTCCCTCCAGGGAAAGAGTGTGATTTCTCTCCCTGGAAGGACACATTACCTCATTTCGGAGAGTTTTAGTCGCAAGCTGGCAAAGCCTTTGGAACCCCAGAGGGTCTGTTGGGGTAACTGTTAGAGTCTAACCAGCTTAAACCACATAGATCGTCACTGCCAGGCAAGCTTCACGGCTGCTTGTCCAGCTAGGACCACCTTACCTGTTAGGACTTTGGTTTGCAGAGTTAACAAGGCTGAATTGGAAGAGCCCCTATCCCCAGTGACCGGTCTGCCTTTCCAGGTCCTACCGATCACCTAGGCTGGGCTGGCATCAGCAGTGCCTTGGAATACTGCAGACCGGCCTGACATTAGGAACTGGACAAGAGACCATCACAGAGGGTGGACGTGATTCCAACATTCCTTGGGCAAGCAGATCACCTTAGAGTCAGTTCAGCTCCAAGCAGACCCTGCTTACCTCCCCCGAAGGATGACAACAACAACAAATTACCACAATCTTCCTGCCCACAGCTCAGACACACATCAATTTCCATTCAGCTCCAGCATTGAAGGTGCGGAGCTTGAGCTTCTAGCCTCAGAGTTTCCTTATGAGCTACCTGATAGACATCTGCCTTCAGTGAGGTGGGGGGACCTTTACAGGGCAGCTTGTGTCATGCCATCCACCTGATGTTCCCAAGGTCCAAGGCCAATGCCAGATGGCTTACTCGGCACCGACTGTTCAATCCACATCTTCATGGGAGGGACTTTGGCAAACAGGCGTGCCTGCTTTGAAGCCAATGCTTCTTCTAGGGTTCTCAGGGACAGGTCAGTGAAGGCCAGACCCCTCCCTCCCTGGAGCAGTTTTCCAAGTTTACCACAAATCCACCTCCCTGCTCTATGCTGGATTTCGCAAATGGACCTGAGAAATCCTTTCCACTGTATTCCCTGAAGTTCAGAATCATAATAAAGAACAGTTTGGACCTAGGTCTTAAATGCCCAGCTTGACCTGCCTTGAGACCCTGCTGTCTTTGATGAGATGAGAACCAAGGTCCTCAGCACTATAGGCTTCCTGCATGTGGCAGCCTGGCTCAGGTGCTAATGCTTTTGCTTCTGATTCAGAAGGTTTGGACTTTGAGCTCATGTTCTAAGCAAACACCCCATTGCATCAATAGGGGAGTGTTGTATTGTGCCAAGAGATGCCATCCTACGGATAACACATTAAACCAGGGTACCATCTACCTGCTCAGATGGATGCTAAACAATCCATGGCACAACAACAATGACAAATTGCATTTATATAGCGCCTTCCATGTTGGACGCATATTCCAAGGTACTGGACAATCAAGGGTTTGCACTATTGAAAAATAGAGGGAATGGAGTTTTTCTCTCCCAATGATATGGCCAACAATCCCTAAAATAAAATTGGTTATTAACTTCACAGCTGTTTGGGGTTGTCATGTTTTCCAACAAAACACACAGTCACTGCACTCCTGTGAATCTTGTAGTGTTTTGATACATCTTCCCAACATGAAGGCGTTGTATCAAATGTAAGGATTATTATTATCACTCCGCCCCCCACTTCACCAGGTGAATCTCCTGCTCCTTCATGCCCATCCAAAGAATGGGGTGCTTTACCAGTTACATCACACAGAACAAAAGGTTGGGCTGAACTGAACATCTCACTCATGCATATAATGTGCTGTATTAGGAAGGGGTGGGAGCAAGTGAAACAAGTAAGGGTTGTTAGCTCTTGCTCACTATCAAGTAACAAGTCTTCCCCACCTATGTTAACATGTGTGGGTGTGTGTTGGTGGACAATTGTGGAGCTACACGCCAGCATAGGTCAGTGCCATCAGCAAAATCACTCCTGTGTGTAATCCAGTCAGAAACAATTCAGATTATAACAACAAAATTCCTTGCATTTGATGTAGCACCTTATCACGCTTTCGAGAAGTCTCAAAGTGCTTCACAGAATATACTGTAAATTGACTGTATATTTTGTGGGTGAAACGCAGCAGCCAATTGCGCACAGCATTGTCCCACAAACAGCTGCAAATTGAGCAACCAAGTTATTTGAGACATCCAAATGGTATAAAAGTATACAAATTTGAATCAGTTTACATACACACCTGTAAAGGTTCCACACCAGAACCAGGTTATCTTTCCCTCCCGACACAAAGTGACTGCTGTCATCGGTGAAGCGAAGGCAGGTCAGGTCCTGGTAATGTCTGTGAAGTACAATCAGCAGGTTCCCACTACAAACCTGTAGAGAAATAACAAACATTGGTGTCTTTCCCATCTCCCTTTCCACTGACAGACGTTTTATTTTGAACCCCAAAGCCTTGGTCAATGGCTGTGGTAAACCCAAAGCTCTTATTTATTCATAAGATCAGGAGTTAATAAACTGAGAGAAAAGCTGAAAATAAATAATAATAATCCTTGCATTTGCGATAGAGTCTTATCATGTCGGAAGGATGTCTCAAAGCACTTCACAGGTTTTACTGTAAAGTGGATTGACTGTCTATTAGTAGGCAAATGCAGCAGCCAGCTTGCACACACCAATGTCCAACAAACAGCTGAGAAATGAGTGACCAATGTTATTTTTGCGGGATTGTTGGCCAGGACACTGGGTGAGAGAAACTCCCTTCTCTTCTTAATAGTCCCATGGGATCTTTAAATCCACCTGAACAGGCAGCCGGGAGCTCAGTTTAACGTCTCATCCAAAGGACAGCATCTCCGACAATGCAACATACCTCCAGCACTGCACTGGAGCACCAGCTTAGTCTACGTGAGATCAAGTCCTGACATGACATTTGTACCCACAACCTCCTACCCCAGAGGCAAAAGTGTTACCACTGAGCCAGGCTGACATACAAGCTGACAAAATAAACAGCAAGTACATCAACCTCATCGAGGACTAGGCTGAAATTATATGGTAATTTCCCTGCAAGAGGGATGGGGAGTTATCTCCATTTGTGTAACCTGCTTTTCGAGGCATTCTGGGTTAAAAAGAATGGGTCCCAGAGCCTTGGGACGTCCTCCCGATGTGAAAGGTGCTATACAAATGTAATCTTGTTATTGTTGTTAAAAAGCACCCGTATTTTTTCCTCTTGCACTTTGACCTCCAACCCGATGCCAAGAATTTAAATCTAAGTGGATTGGTTCCACTTGACAGCTGATAAAAGGGCAGTTTCACCTACACACATTATTATAGTCACAAAATAATTAGCAAAGGGTTTCTGTTTCAAGCTTTGCATGTGTACAGCTTGCCACCTAATGGCCAGTCCAAAACATCACAGCAGCTCACAATTCTATTTGTGAGCTCTCCGGCACCTCCTACCTCTCCGATCTCCTCACACCCAATCCACCACCCTGCGCCTCCGCTTGACTGGCACCGGCAACCTGCTCATACCTTGCACCCTCCGCCCCACCATCGGAGATCGCGCTTTCAGCCACTACACCCTAAAACTCTGGAACACTCTCCTGCAATCCCTTCGCCTTGCCCCCTCTCCCCCCTTTTTCAAGTCCCGCCTGAAAACCTTCCTCTTCGATCGTGCTTATGGCCACCTCCACCCCCCTCACCCCGGCTCAGAGTCAGGCTCCACAACTGTTAAGCGTTCTGAGACTCTACTCTGAGTGGAAGGCGTTACATAAATGCAAATTGTTGTTATTTGTTTTCCCAACCACTCTTTGCAGATTCTTAATAATTTCATTATAGTAATAAATAATAAATAATCTTGCCATTTGGTATAATAACTTATCACATTGTCGAGACATCTGAAAACACATCACAGGATATACAATCAACGTAAAATAGCTGTTTGTATATTCTAGACGAACACAGACCCAGCACAGCAGTGTCGCACAAACAGCCATGAAGTGACCAACTAATTTTATTCGGGGGGATTGTTGGCCAAGGGAAACTCCCTTCTCTCTCTGAATAGTGCCATGGGATCTTTAACGTCCCCCTGGACAGGCAGACAGTTTAACGTCTCATTCAAAGGACAGCACCTCTGACAACGCAGCACACTCACAGTATTACAATGGAGCATCAGTCCTGACTGTGGGTTTCAAGTCTGACACCGCAGATGAAAGTATGTTTACCACAACATCATTCCAATTAATTCCAATATGGGGTTACATCCAAGCATTTTATCGTTTTATCGGAATAGCCTCAAACCCCCACCCTCAATCGGCTTCTCTCAACCTCACTGAACCAGTGCATCTGGTCGATCCTCAGCTTTCGTTTCTCTCTTACATTCTGTCTCTGGCCAAGACTGCTTTCCTTCACTCCTGCCCCAATAGCAAGCCAAAATAGTAGGGTAATCCTGCCACTGTATAAATCATTGGTGAGAACGTACTTAGAGACTGTGTACAGATCTGGTCACCGCAGTACAATATAATAATAATAATAATGCTTGTATTTGATATTAATTAATTAATTAAGTGGGTGAAACACGGCAGCAATTGCACACAGCAGTGTCCCACAAACAATCATGGATTGAGTGAACAAATTATTATTGTTGTTTTTTTTCTTGAGAGATTATTATCAGGCGTGATAATAAAAACAATAATACAATTGTATATTACACATGTGATAATACAAAAAACATATAGGTGAAACCAAGAGGATACAGAGGGGAGAAACCAGAATGATTGAGGAAATGGAGGGACTGGACTATGAGGAGACTCATAATAAATTGGCCTTGTACACGAAGGAAAAGTGAAGATTAAGAGGCGACATGATTACTGTCTTTAAGATTCTAAAGGGGCTAAACAATATAGATCATGACAGTCTGTTTCAACTTGTCCAGAATAGCAAAAACAGAGAACACGGCCTGCGATTGAAGGGGGGTAAATTCAGAACAAATCTAAGCACACTATTTCAGTGAGAGAATGGTGAACCTGTGGAACAGGCTCCCCAGGGAGACGGTTAAAGCAGGAAGTATTGATTCCTTCAAACACAGATTAGATTGTTTTATGTTAGGAAACAGAACTATCTAAGACATCAGTTTTTGGGACATCCTCCCAACATGAAAGGCGCTATATAAATGTAATTTTGTTGTTGTTTTGCAGGAGATAACATTATGGGATACAGTACATAGGTAGTTTAGGACATATGTGCACATGACAGCCAGGAAGGTGGAAGGCAAACTAGATGGACCTTGATCTTCTTTTTCACCTAACATCTTATGTTCAATGGTCCCATTCTAACACTAAATTAAACCCTTATATTAAATTAACCCTTATTAAACCATGAAGTCGTTGTTACCTCCCACCTCTTGATCTCTCTAACTACTCTATAAACTAACTTACCAAACTCCACCACCAGCATCCTCACCCGACCAAACTCTGCACGTCTTTCATCCCAGTCCTTGCAGGTTCCACTGCCTCCCTGCAGAATGATTTCAAGGCTTTCATCCTTACCTGTAAATCCCTACATCCTCTCGCAACTGCCTCCTCCTACCATATAGCGTCCGCATACCCCTTTGGGCCAATTTGGGCTTGCAGCACAACCCTGGCCATCGATGGCTGAGCTCTCAGAATCTATGTTGATGACCTCTGGAACTTCATCTCTTTGGCCACTTCTCTTCAAGTCCAGCTCTAAAATCTATCTCTTGGGACTGTGCCACTGGTCACCTCCGCTCATGAGGTTTCTAATCCCATACTCAAGCACCTCGCCTAGATGGCCGTTCACCATGTGTGAGTCTGGATTCTAAACTGCAATCTCTTGTACAACTTAGTGCCGCTTCCTTCCCCATTTTCAGATCAGACCTTCCTCTTCAACTGTGCTTGTGGCCCCCCTACCCCCGACATGAGGCTCTGCTCCAAGAAACTATAAATAAATATAAATGCGAGCTACTGTTGTTACACCAGATAACAAGCTTTATCCACTCGATGCCCAGAATAAAGCCAAGCACAAAGCCTGCAATTATTAGCCTCCATTTCTACAACCACCTCTGGGCTCTAGAGTTAAGCGATGCAGCCATTACCTCCCATAGATAGATGCTATCCCCGATCCCGGCAGTAACATAAAGTCCATTGGGGGATGCAGTGAGACAGTTCACAACCCCAGGGCAGATGATCTTCTGCTGCAGCTGGTCCTTAAATAAGAGAAAAAAGGTTCTTCAGAAACATCCTCTCATAGTCTTCATAAGGCAGGACAAGATCAGAGGCCAAACTAGCTGCAATTAACGCACCTGTCTTTACCTCTGATGTTACTGGAGATTTACCAAATAAATATTTTTAAAAACACTCCCAATGAGAACATGACCCAGTATTGGTACCCAGTAACCATTCACTCTGCACATCAGTGTAACTTACTGTGTTTGCTGCGTTCCGATCCAATCACACCTCAATTTGTTAACACATTTGTTTCCTTCCCTCCCCACCCTCGCATCACCCCCTGTCCCTCACACTCTGACATCTCACGGACCAGCCAAATGGCTGGTAGCTATGACATACCATTTGATATAATCACAGCAACAGCCCCCCCAGCCCGCATCCACTCTCGCTCACTCACTGACACCTCAAGAACTAGTTGGGCCACCATCAACCCTTACACAGATTTTGGAACAGGAACACACATTCCAGATAAAATCCAAGATTTGGCCACGTACTCCCATGGCTTCCAGTTTCATCATGAGGAGTTCATGTGGTCAAAAGCCTTTCAGAAGTTGGCAGGTTTGTTTTGAGGCTCATCAACAGGATTGGTAGGGGCAGACAAGTCACTGAGGGCAGGGAATTCTCCCATTTAGCTCCTATTAATCCTGCAAGCCAAAACCCATAACAACAACAACTTGCATTTATACAACGCTGCTCATGCAGCGAAGCATCCCAGAGCACTAGGCAGTGGTGGAGCAGAGCCGGGGGCAGGTTGGGGGTGGTCCTAGCTGGACAAGCAGCAGGAAAGCTTGCCAGACAGCTCTGTCAATGGCAAGCTGTGCAATTTTAGTTGGTCAGACTCCAGTAGTTACCCCAATACCCACTCTGGAGTCCTCAAATCTGAGCCTAATACTCTCCGGAATGAGCTAAGCAACCCTCCCGGGTGAGAGTGGCATTCCATTCCAATAAATGTCTCAATTACTGTCAAGTGGGAGGTGACAGGCATCGAACGGTTTGGTTTGGAGACTTAAGCACATGATGGCAAAAGGCAAAATACTGCAGATGCTGGAAATCTGAAATACGAACAAAAATGGCTGGGAACACTCAGCAGGTCAGGCAGCACCGACGGTCACCCACCGGAAACATGGACTGACTTTCCTCTCTCCATAGATGCTGCCTGACCTGCTGAGTGCTCCCAACCACTTCTGTTCTCTCCTTATAAAGCTGAGCGATGGTTTGTTTCCACGTGTGTCAGACACTTGGCTGATAACCCTCAAAAAAAAAGTTGGGTCAAATGGCCAGGAGTCATAACAGAACAGTGGGTGTGACTGCACTGACACAGTGAGCCTGCCCCCCCCCCACACACACACCCACACACACACCCCCACCCCCGACCCCCCGGGCCCTCACCTTGCGCTGTATCTCCCAGACGCTGATGCAGTTCTTGCCGAGCTGCGCTCCCAGCAGGTACTCGCCGTTGAGCAGACACAGACCGCGGCTGCCGCAGCTGCTTCCGCGGTAGGTGGTGATGACGGCCCCGGAGAGCGGCTCCCACACACTGCAGCTCCACTGCGGCCCCGCAGCGTCCGCGCTCAGCACCACCTCGGGTCCCGCTGCCGTCGCCGCCATGTTCCCTTACCCACAAGCCACCGCCGCCGCCAGCCGAACAGCGCGCGCAGCAAGAGCGGCGCCGTCACCAGGGAAACCAAGATGGGCGGGGCCGGAGCCGTCACCAGGGCAACCAAGATGGCCGGGGCCTGGGTACCATGGTAACGAAGCCAGATGGTGGCTTCAGTTACCATGGTGACGGGCCGAGCTCTCCCCAGGAACAGCAAAGCCGCACTGAACAACAACAAATTACACCTTCACCTCGAAAAGCCATCCCCGGGCCCTGGACAGTCAGGGGGGGTTGGGGTCAGGAGGGGTGGAGGGCGGGGGAGGGGTTTGGGGTGGTGGGGTTTGGGGGGGGGGGGTTTTTGCGGGTGGAGAGGGGGGTTGAGGGGGTGGGGGGAAGGGGGCCGAGAGAGGCACAGTCAAACAGGAAGGTCTTACACGGGACATGACAGCGGCAAGAGAGGGGCTGAGGTGGAGGGATTGCAGGATAGAGTCCCAGAGCAGAGATGCTGAATGCCCGACTGCCGATGGGGGGCGGGAAGCGCGGGGGGACCTGAAGCAGCCGGTGTCCGCCGAGCGGAGGGAACGGACAGGCTGATATGGGACTAGGAGGTCGGAGATGGAGGGGGGAACCAGACCGTGGAGGGCCTTGAAGGTGAGAACAAGGGTTTTGGTTCTCTGAGGGATGGCCAGTGAAGCCGGGCAAGGACGGGGATGATCTGAAGGCAAAATACTGCAGATGCTGGAATTGTGAAATAAAAACAGAAGTGACTGGAAACACAACAGGTCAGGCAGCATCTATGGAGAGAGGAAAGTGAGTTAACCTTTCAGGTTAATAAGTGCGCAGGAAAAGTAGGACTTCCAATAGTTGCTTACAAAGGCTGGCGAGCTGAAGTTCAACAGGACGAGAGCTGGATCATCCCAGGAGTTTTGAGGCAGTGAGGAGAGCGACGGGTGGGGAGCCTGAGTGGCTATGCCCTTGGCTGGGGCGTGTCAGAGGTGCCGTTCTTCAGACGGACTTTCTCTCTCCCAGCATCACGGCCAACAATCCACCAAGTAAAATGAGTCATTCACTCGTGGATGTTTGTGGGACATTGCTGTGTCCAAACTGGCTGCTGTGTTCTCCTACAATGTACACAGTTTGTAGTAAATCCTGTGAAGCGCTTTGCCCAACAACAACAAATTATATTTGGGGCGTCCTCCCGACATGAAAGGCACTATACAAATGTAATATTTTGTTGTTGACAATAATAATAATAATCCTTGCATTTGATATAGTGCTTTTCTCAAAGCACTTCACAGAATATACTGTAAAGTGAATTGACTATATTTGTGGGCGAAACGCAGTAGCCAATTGCGCACAACAGTGTCCCACAAACAGTCATGGATTGAAGTGACCAATTTATTACTTTTTTCTTGAAGGCATTATTAGGCATAAATAAATAATAAATAAATCAAAGACACGTTTTTGATGATGACGAGTTACAATTATAGAGCGCCTTTCACGTCGGGAGGACGTCCCAAAGCGCTGAACAGTCAGGTGTCAGGGCCCGAGCATGGGGGACAGGTGGTGTAGGGGTGAGGGAAGGCAGAGAGGTGGGAGGGAGACCAAAGGCACAGACGAAGAGAAGGATCTTGAGACTGTCCTTCAAGGAGGCGAGGGAGGAAGCGAGGCCAAGGGCCCGTGGGATGGAGTTCCAGAGTGTGGGGGCAGAGAGGCTGAAAGCCCGGCCACTGATGGTAGAGCGGATCGGGTGGGAGACATGGAGCAGCCGGAGCCCGCTGAACGAAGGGAGTGGGCAGGTTGGTAGAGTCAGCAGGTCAGAGAGGTAGGAGAGGGCAAAGCCACGGAGGGCCTAAAAGGTGAGGACGAGGATCTTGAATTCAATCCTCTGGGGGATGGAGAGCCAGTGGAGTCGGGAGGGTCGGAGTGACGGCGTCACGGAGTCTGGTGCATGAGAGTACACGAGCTGCAGAGTTTGGGATGATCTGCAGCTTGTGAAGGGAAGAGTTGGGAAGGTCAATGAGGAGGGAGTTCCCGTAGTCAAGCCTTGATGTCCTCATGATGTGAAAGGTGCTACATTAAAGGTAAGGATTATTATTATTGTTGTTGTCCTCAGGTTGACAGATCACACCCAGGACAAACACCAGGGTTTTATGACAATTAGATTCCTTTTATTGGATCCAAGGTCACTAAAAAAACTAAACTATTTCCAAACTTTCCACTGTTCCTCTGATATTCACAACATCACATCCTTCAGATACCTTTTTACATACGCATATAGAAACTACACACACACAGGCTATTCAGCCAGCTAGTCTGTGTCGGTGTTTACAAGCCTCACCATTTGTCCTCTATTTGTGGAGTACTGCAGTGTATTGGTTAGAGCGCTCCCCTCACAAGCAAGAGGATCCAGGTTCAATTTCTGGGCAGTGCAAAACCTTAGGCAAGTTTCCTTACTCCACACATTTCTGTTTACCCAGCAGTAAGTAGGAAACTGTTGTTAGTCAATTGGCAGATCGCTTTCTGGAGGTAATCATTCCTTCAATAAATAAATAAATAAATAATGTGGCCAGTCAATCCACGATTGTTTGTGGGACACTGCTGTGCGTCAATTGGCTGCTGCGTTTCGCCCACAAAGTATACAGTCAAGTCACTTTACAGTATATTCCGTGAAGCATTTTGAGACGTCTCAACAATGTGATAAGGTGCTATATCAAAAGCAAGGATTATTATTCTCTTTGCTCTCATGTATGCGGGTATACACCCACTCACGTCCCTCCTCATTATCAGCGTTCACTCTTAACCATAAAGGCCTTACTGATTTATTATCTTAAAAGGGGCAGTTCTGATGTATCCCGAGGCAGGGGAGATGGACTCAAAATACGTCCACCCAGATACACTCTCCAAGCTTTTGCCTCACATCTGTTCAGACTTGTTTCCCGTCCCTCTTTTTCTACCTGAAGGCAACATAAATCAGATCACATCTGCTAGAGTTATACTGGAATGCCGGAGGAGAGGGTGCCTAAAAACAAGTCTACGATTTTATCAGTTATCAGCTTTTATCAGTCAACTAACTTGGACTTGCAGGACAAGTCACAGCCTCCAGTTTCAGGTTTTAGGAGTTACTGTTGTTGTAATGAATGTCTTTATTAGAGCCTGTCATGGTTAAAATACTGCAGATTTCATGTGTGAACAGAGGTGGGGAACTTACGTTGAACCCAACCCCGTCCTCATCTGACATCGTGAATCCCAGCAGGTGTCAGTAGCAAGTCAGCAGCAATGAGAATGGGCTGTTTTTGCTAGACGGAGGGTCCAGCTCTCCCTGACTGAGGCTTTGGTCTGCTGCTGAAACCCTAGTGTAGTGGTTAGCGCACTCGTGTCACAAACAAGAGGACCCAGGTTCGATTCCCAGGGCAAGACAAAACCTGAGGCAAGTTTCCTTACTCCACGCACGCGCCTCTGTTTACCCAGCAGGACCTCACACTCACTAGGTCTCCGGCAGAGGATTTGAACTCGGAGCAGTTCTGTGATATCCTGGATTGCCAATGCTCGCATTGAGCTCCTCCATCATAACATACACACAGCTTTACACGATTCATCACTTCCATACAGAATCATGCAGCCCCCCCCCCCACCCCCAGCCCCTCCCCAGCCCACCTGTCGCTGTCTGGTGAGACCTGTTAAACTATGTGCAGATGTGGACATCAGCTTGGGCTCGGCTCTGATACTGTCACACCTGTATATCCTGCTGCCGCTCCCTGTCTCGGTTCACATGTGAAGAATGGCCACATGGGCGAGTTATCAAAGGGGGAACGGCAGATGTCCAACTACCTCCTTCCTCCTCTAATCACCTTCAGGGTGGAAGGAGGGGTGAAAAAATTGCCAGCAGAATTTTTTTTAAATGGAAATTTACCAGAATCAGCTTAAGTACATGGAGATCAGGATTGTCTACAAACACAAAGACAATGACCTTTCTTTAAAATTAGCTGATGTGTTATTTGAGAGACCAGTGCCCTTTGTTAGGAATGATTAATAATTAAACATTGCCATTTTCTGAAGAATATTCTAAGAGTCAACATTTCAAAATGTTTCCGAAAACAAGAGAAATTTGAAATTCCTCTTTACAACGAATGGTTTGAAGTAACCCCTGTGAATTTATCTTATAGAATTATTCCAGGCTGTGTAACATGATAATCCTATAGCCGCATGTTGTTGTAACATCTTTAAGAAGCTTCACAGGATTTTCTGTACAGTAACTGTGTATTTGTACAGACAAAGCAGCCAATTTTTGACACAGCAATGTCCCACAAATAGCCATGGAGATCCGTATAACAGTGTCATGGGATCTTAAACATCCAACTGAACAGGGAGACGGTATCTCAACTTAATATCTCATCCGAAGAACATCACGTCAGGCAATGCAGGACTTCCCAGCGATACATTAAGTCTAGACTATGAACTCAAGGTACTGATGTGGGTACTTGCCAAACATATCCAAGGTGATATGTTTGGCCATGGAGAGTCAGAATTGAGTCCCCTTTGTGACGGTTTCTAGTCCAGTTCCTGAGCCACGTGGGTACGCAGGATACCAGACCCGAAACGTTGACCTGGGTTCGATTCCCAGCGGGGTGAAACCTTAGGCTCGTTTCCTCGCTCCACAGGCCTCTTACCAGCAGTAAGTATGAACCCGATTGTTAGTCTATTAATAACAATCCCTTCAAAAATAATAATTTGGTTACTCAACCCATGCTGTGCCCAATTGGCTGCCGTATTTCGCCCACAAAATACACAACAACAACAATAAGATTCCATTTATTGAGCGCCTTTCACGTCAGGAGGATATCCCAAGGCGCTGTACAGTTGGGTCACGACCCGAGCATTGGGGGGAAATGGTCAGGGTGAGGGGAGGGAAGGGAGGGAGCGAGGAGGGGATAGAGAGTCGAGAGGGGAGCTGAAGGCACGGTCAAAGAGAAAGGTCTTGAGACCGGCCTTGAAGGAGGAAAGGGAGGAGGCAAAGTGAAGGCGCTGGGGGATAGA